CATTGATGGTGCCTTTCCAGATGTGTAAGCTGCCCATGCCACACGCACTCATGCAACCCCATACCATTACAGATGCAGGCTTCTGAACCGAGCGCTGGTCAAAATCCACTTATATTTTAGTTCAATATTTGTGAGGTCAAAAGTAAAGATGCTTTATAGACTAATGGATTGTAAAATTTCAAATCTTTCTCATGCTTTTATTTTGCAAGAGCAACAATACACCATTGTCCCTGTAACATCACTATACATCAGTGGATTCTGCCAGTGAATAGTGAAAGTGGGACCTACATTCGGCAGCTTGACAAATGGCCATTACGGGTCTGTTCTCTGTAGTTTTCAGAAAAACTTTGTGCGCACAACCTCGACTGAACTATGCGAGATTAGAAACACTGAGGTGAAAGGTCCAGAGTGAATTTTTGTCTCATCTAGACAATAGTCACACTTGCGATGAGATGAAAAAAAATTAAGAAAATGAGGCAGTGTTTATTGATAAATTTAAGTGGTCTGTACTAAATGAGGTGTTTTTCTCCCTCTCAGCTGTTTTGATAAAGTGCTATGCTTTTTAACTGACATTTTTAATGAGCGTAGACACACTCTGTCACACACACCCACACCCACACACACACACATGAACCTGTCAGACATGGTTTAAACACAGGTTTTAGACTATTTGTTATTGGGCTGTTTTTAGACATCAAACTGCTGCAGATGAGATGTGGTTTCTATTGATGTCATTGTTTTTATGTTGCAGTCATTACTGAGATATTCTTACTCCAGCTTGTCTTTAAAGAAGTGTTGCAGCTACATTTGCTTATTGAATGTACACACACACATTCAAATGAAACCATTGTTTTCCCTGCATTCCCTTTGCTGTCACTACCACCTTGGAAGAAATCACACATTTGGAGGAGGAGGCCCCTCCACTGTCTATTCAGCATCCTTCCCGCAATCTCTGTCTCTTCAAATGGAGCGCAGACACTTGATGAAAGATGGCCTCTGGCTCGGTTATTATTATCTAGGTGGGAGGGAGTTCAGCCATTGACAGGTGGCTGCCATCAAGGTGGGAAGTGGGTGGTAGGAAGAGTGAAAGGGGATGATCTGCCATCCGAGGGCTAGAAAGACACTTTGACCTTGGGGGCTGGAGACTAGCTCCTCCTCTGACTGTGTTAAAAAAAAAAAAAACTCTAGTAGGAGTATGCTGGAAAAGATTTAGACAGGAGCTTGTGAACCGAAAGAGCTGTGCTCACTGACCCTGTAGTAAGAAAAGGACCCTAAGAAAACAGCCTCAGACAGGGTGGCAGGGATTAAACTCTGCATTAGCAAGGCCTGTTCTCTGTGGAGAATCAAGAGCAGAAAGTGGACAGAGAGACAGAAAGAGAATGAGAGAATAAAGGTGTGCCAACATGCAAAGGGCTTTGAGAGGAGTCATGAATGAATAAATATGTTAATAAAAAACTGCTACTGCACAAAATTAAAAAGAGTTCAAAGCAAAATGAAATAGTGTGTCCTGCGGGCATGTGCAGCAGAGAGGAACGGCACAAAGGAAATGAAGAAAAACAAGTGGAAGAACAGAGCTGTAGTCCGATAGGAAGATTGCATTGTATGAGGAGTGAAGAAAGGTTAGAGGATTGCCACACTCATGAGGACTGTAAAAAAAAAGCAAGATATGGTTTTTAAAGTGAAGATAGATTGAATATATTAAAAGGCATGTAATGTACTAAGGAAGGTAATGGAGCGAGAACGAGGCAGGTGTTCATTCTTGCTGCACTAGTAATTGATGACAAACCTGCTTATTATGCATCACACAAGATAATGTAGCAATATCAGCAATTATGAGTGGTTACCAAAGGAGCAATGTGCTGATAAGACAAAACTTTAGAAAAGAGGAAGAACAGAACATATATTGTGATAAAACATATTCACATCGAAAGACTCCAAGACTGTGATTTTCACTGGAAAAAAAAATCTCACCAAATTCTCTGTTTATCTTTGAAAACATCACACTCTGTGGACATACTTGGAGAGAATAATGATGTCCTCAAAGATCACAGTAAACACGGTGCATGGTAAAGAGCAGGATGACCATTACCTGGTAATATGACAGACATGAGATGGCCTCTAACACACAGACAAAGGTTGGCCCCTAATGAGTGCAAGGGGGGGGAGTAGTACGTAAAGTCAGAGTCATGCTTTCATTTTCAACCCAAACGCTGTGATGACCAAGGTGAGAGAAGGGCATGTGTCTGAAGTTAATCAGTAGAAAAGTCAGCGAGCACTGTTGGAAAGTCAGAGCTCAAAGAGTTCATACACTGGAAAAATGCAATACTAAAACTGAGAGCTTACGCTAATGATGGGTGACAAAGATCACATTCTTAGCTCATTCTCTCAGACATGCCAACTAAGATGCTTCCTTACATGAATGAAAGCAAAGTGCATTGTGTATAGATATTCTAAATACATAACAAATCATTGCTTTATTTGTTGCAGCCACAATAATTAGAAATGTTAGAAGTGGTAGGGTTATTAGCTGAATAAAAAGGCTCTCCTTGGGTAGGTGCCATCGTATAATCAGATCTCCAATTCCGTTTGTATCATACATAGCCCACTGTTAAGATGCAGTGAAAGATTTTCATCTCCATTTGTTCGCTGTAACTTGGGGACACTGGGGAGGAGATTAACACTGCCCAACATCTCCAATCACATCACATGTAATCGGAGATATGCAGTCGTCATCCTCAGGCCTTACTCATTTCCCAGTAATGGGTACAAATCAACTCCCAGTCTACTTGCCAGTAACAGCAGCTGGCAAAGAGGATGTTACTTCTACAATAAATGTCTCTTTCACCTTCTTTCTCTCTGTGTATTCTGGCCATACAGCCCATAGGTGGCCAGCAGCAGAGTCAGCTTTGGTCTGATATTTAATTAAGCCTTCGAGGCTGCGCCATGAGGGGGATTCTGGCTGGTAAGGGACAGATCTAGGCTATGCGCCAATCCAAAGAGAGTAAGACATAGCTACCATCTGCACGGAGAGAGAAAAAGATCAGGGTGGTCTTCCCCAGTGTACATATGTGCCATAATGAAAGTCATGTGGCAGCAAAATGGAAAAGAATAATCATACTCTTGGGAAAGAAGAGAAAACAAACACAGCACACACACAGCTACAATCAAATCAAACCACAGAGAGCCTGAACGTTCCTATAGA